TGAGCTGGTTAATGCCTGTTTGGACGGGGAACGTCCGCTGCAAATTTCAGCCTCCCAGCATTTCTGGTCCCCGAGTTATCAGCTTACCCCTGAAAAACTTTGGCGGGCTCGTACGTGGGTATTGCGCGGGTAAGAGCGCCCATTTTGGGAGTGGGGGTCCGTACATGCATGTAGATAAGCTCCCAAAATTTCAGCCCCATTGCTTTCGTAGATCTCGAGATGAAAAATTGGTACAGACGAACACACACACACACAGTCAACCCCTCGTCAATATCCGTTTTATGCATTGCATAGCTGCAAAAAACGCATAATTAAAACTAAGAACTGAATTGGAATGTTTCGGTCCATTAAGTCGCGCATACAGTCCCATTCGTTGCTAAAACTGGACCTCGTCAGTGTAACGGTTGCAGCAGAATAGATATTAGAAACACGTAATATGGTACAGGCCGAGTGTAACTTTGCCAGACGCTTCAATGAGTAACAACCATCATTTAGGGTTAAAGAAAAAAATGCGAGAAAAAACGATGAAAAGCATGTAAGGAATTATTAAAGAGGAATCTGTCTGGCTTAAATAGGCCACCTTTTTGGGGCCCGCTTCAGCGGTAGCCTATTTTCTTGGCATGATTCAATGCGATGTTTGATTGTGTGACGTAGATCAATACTCTTCTTGTAAGCGTTGAAAAAGTTTTTACAAAAAAATGCTTTCCGTGATAACCGCAATTAATACTGCGTAATCGATCACTCTATTAACAATCCTGACATCCGTTTAATTTTCTGGAAAAATTCCACTTCTGTGGTTCTTTGACACTAAATTCTTGGCAAGGGTGTTTTTTAGCTTTTTCAGAATTTCCGCAGTCTGTGTTGAGCATTTGCCCAGGACAATAGCATTCATAAACTGGTGCGAGGTACCTTGCGAACTAGGAATTGATTCTCGATATTATCTTAAAATCTCTTTTTTTATAGTATCTGTTAATTTTAAGTCGTCCATTCGCGTTTAAATTTAAAAATTTTGCAAGTATAACCAAAATTTTGATGATATCCCCTTGGATCTTACGATATTTAACTACGGAGGCTTAGGGGTTAAGCTCGCGTCTGACCTGTTTTGTTCTTTTAATGGTTGTTTTTTAAAATACTTTTTGAGAATGATCGGATCTATCATGTTTATATAAAAGTTTTTCAGTCAAGTGACGGAAGCACTGGCCCATTTGCATTATTTATTGTTCCCTCAAAAGAACTAGCAAAACAGGTGCGCATTTTTTGTTTTGTATTTATTTTTGATGAAATATTGCATTGATGAAAGAAAGGAATTGCACAGAGTAAGCAGGTAAATGTACTGAAGACGTAAACGGAGGAGGCATTATTATCGTTTGTTTTTTCTTTTTTTGCATATTATAAGTCAACGACTTGGACATAGCAATAGCCAGGAGGATAAGAGCAGGATGGATAACTTTCGCCAAGCTCCACGATATATTCTACGACAAAAAACCTACGTCATCCTCTTACTGTTCTCTTCTGCTCTAATCTGTCACGTTCTAGCCATTTAGGCTTCCAAGGTCAACCTGGTTGCTACAGTTGGCTTACGTATAATTTGGATAATACTGATGCGAGCGCATTTCAGACATACGCGCTATTACACTGCTTGATCGAGAAATTCCCGTTCATGTTATCGATGAATTTTGCTGAACTGAATGCAAACATTGAAGATGACTGGCTTGCGGTTAGCTTTTCAGTGATTATTTTTAAGAAACGTGCTACCATTGATGCCTATATTTCAGGTTTACATTTAGCTTCCCTACATGCCCTCCTTACATCTTCTTAACTTTTTATAATAAACATGTGCGTTTCATTATCTATTTCGCTTCCTCATTTCGTGGTCTCACAACCATTCATTCTCATAAAGGATGAAAGCAGAAAGGCCTGATAAAAATTGGCCAGCGTGGTTTGCTATTACCCTAACCAGCAGACAAGGAAAGAATCAACATGTGAAATGCAGAATGCACGTTATAACGCAACGAGATGAAGAAATTAAAAAGCGTTGCATCACCTTCTGCGCCCATCTCTCTAGCTCGTTGCTGCAAAAGGAACAAGGTGTTAACAGCACGGAAACGGAGCTGCTGGCTAAACCCTTTCGTCTTGCCCAATTGCCCTTCGATTCCATGTGACATGCAAATGTCCAGTCTTCTGACTCGAATTCCCCGCTCCGAAAT